GCTGTCAAAGGCTGAGGAAGCTCGGCGGCGGCTGGCGCGCTTGCAGCCCCGTGCGGTCCAGGCGAATCGAGGGGGAGCAAAGGGGTGCGCCCGCCGCCTAGCTCAGTGTACGGCCGTTCCTCCCTTCCGCGCGGGCTCCCAGGACAATGTAATCCTGGGCCTGGTGGTCTGAACGTGGGTATCTCGGGAGCCCCTGCAGCCGGCTGGAAAGCGGAGAGCCGCACGTGAGCGTCCCCCCCTCCGGCAGGCGGCACAATAGTGCGGTCCCCGCCTCGCCGGGCGTAAGGCAAGCGAGGAGGGACGCACTTCTCCGGGCTCGCAAAGCGAAGCGAAGGAGATCGGACCTCGGGGTTCGGTGACAGAGGCTTTCCAGGATCCCCGAGAGGCGAAGAGCAATCCGTGAGCTTTAGAGGAGAAAGAGCCCCCCGAGAACAGTAGGATGTGAAGAGTCGGAGCCCCAAGGAAATGCACTCTGATGACAACCTCGGGAGAGGCGAAGACGCGCCGGCCGCTCGTCCCTAGAACGGAGACTTAGCCGCGAAGGCCCTCCTTAATCACAACCCTTCCCGGGGAGACACCGCGGTCCCCCGACCCTGCCGCGGGGCGAGGGCTCTGCCCGCCGTTTGGGTTTGGAGGCCCCTGTGAAGCTCCTGCCACCTCCGCAGTCTCCACAGAAGGTGAAGTGGGGGCGGGAGTCCTTCAACGAGCAGAAGTGAAAGAGCGCGGAGAGGAGTACGGGCTTCCAGACGCCGTCAGGATCACTTGTTGAAATACGGGCAGGTGTCAGTGGCCTTGAGGATGTGGGGGAAAGAAGAGAACTATGTACAAACCCGCTTAGAATACGGAGACGGGTGAGCGTGAAGGGAAAATATTCCCTCTCGCTACCCCTGTCCAGGAAGAGGAGTGCTGATCTGCAGTTCCCATCGCCCGGCTGGACGGTGGAGGCCGCCCAAGCACTCCTGCCTTGGTATGAGCCCCACTGCGTTTAAAAAAGAAGAAGAAGGAATAAAATGCTGGAAGGAAATACACCAAAATGTTCGTGGTGGTTAATTGCACGAACATTTTCTGCTTTGGACTTTTGTCTGTGTTCTACAACTTTTTCAAAGTTTTTACGAAAGGCATAGATTGCCATCACAACCAGAAAAAAATGAAAAACGTTGACATTTAAACGGCATGTACAATATGATCTCAATTACATAAACATGCATAGAAAAAAACAGGATGGAAATATAAAAAACTGTTAACAGTGTGTTATTTTTGACAACTACGACATGGTCACTTGTTCTGCTTTGTACTTTCTGGTATTTTGCACCTGGTAAATAGAGAAACAGTTTAGAAATAAATTAGGTCATTCTCTCCCAAAATCATAAGTTATGAGGTTCAAAAATGAGATATTGGGTTCAAAGCCTTTGGGAACTATAAAGCAAAGGTAATGCACTAATGTTATTATAAAGATGAGTTTCCAGTATTTCTTACTGTAAGTTAGCAAATGGCTTTCGTACAGCCTCTCTGTACATGGACCTGTTTCTCTACGGCAAGAGCAATATACCAGATCAAGATACCAGAACTGCAAGTCAAACTAGGCCCTGGAATAGAATAATTCCAAACCTACAGGCCCATCCAGCCTGTCCATAGCATTACTGTTTTGATGATAACAGCATAGTAGTGAGAGGCATGATTTCTGTTTCCACAATACCTAAATAAAGAAGAGAAAAGACCACACTGGTCTCTCTGGAGGTTAAATAGGAAAAGGAGGGCTTGACTTCACTAATAAATCTAAATATTCTAAGGAGTCTGTGGATATAGTCTTTGATATTTACATCTAAGTAGTTACTTTGTGTGAAAATCAGTAGAATGATTTTTCAAGCAGACCCTATCAGCATTTTCTTATTTCTATTAAGAAATACATGTCATCTACATAGTAATTTATAGATACCTAAATAAACTTGATATAGTTTACTGTGAATTTTAATATATTTGAGAAATAAAAAAGACCTTCCTCTAGTGACAAGCATTTGCATATTCCTTGAGATTATAAAGGTTTTTCATATATGTTTCCATTCTCATAACAAGCCTGTGAGGAGACTAGAGGAGCTATTATCTCTGTTTATAAATATGAGGGTAGGAAGGCACAAAGATGTTAAATGAATATCACAGTTCAGCAAATAAGAAGTTGGGAATTCAAGCTCAGTTCTGACCACCAATTCAATACTTTAATATACATTGATTGCCTGCTGATACTGAGATGATTAGTCTAATTTTTACACTTCTTTAGTAACATTTTAGTAAATCTGTTACATAAACCTCAAAAAGAATACACAAGTTCTTATTACACAAAGACTTTAGTCTTTGGGACAAGCACTATGAATATTTGTGCGGCAGAAAACAAGTGTAAGGTAACTTTCCTTAATCTCTACATAAAAGCCTAAAAGATTTGTTGCTAAAGTAAAATATTATCTGAATTTCGCAGGGAAGAAAAGAGTATCATACAATATACATTATGCAAATATTTTACCATTACAAGTGACATGATAATGAACAGAGCTAATTGCAATCCTAGGTTTTCATGAGCTACAAATAATAGTGATAAATAGTTACCAGGTAATTACCATTTCAACTATGCAATTAACTCATGTCAGCTTTGCACGTATATAAAGAACATTAAAAATAGCTTTTAAAAATAATAAATTCTCTGAAGAAACTTTCAGAATTATAGCTTTTGGGTTTAAGAAATCTTTAGAACAGAGTTTGATTACAAATCAAACAGAGGGAGACGAGGGAGCGATGTTGTTTCAAGTACGATGTTGTTCCGCAATGTCCTCATTTCTTTTTTGGTTTTGCCATTTATTACAAAGTTGTAAAAATCTAATGTAAAGTGACTTATCAGCAGAGCTTCTTAATGATGAATGTAAATAAAAACCCCTGGATTTCAAATGAGCCTTTTAGACACAGAAATTCTCTGCACATTTTTAAATTTCCCAGTTTGATTTGTATTATTAAATTGTCCTGACATCCTATATAATAAAAGGCTAATTTGCAAATCGACCAAACGATGGAACAACCGGTCGCTAAGATGCGCACTGACCACAAGGGGGCAGACACTCAACGCAGGAGCTACCCCCTGGTGGTCAGTCAGTGTGCTCCCACAGGGGTAGCTCCACTCAGCCAGAAGCCAGGCTCACAACTGGCCAGCGCAGAGGTGGTGGCAGGAGCCTCTCCCACCTCCGCGGCAGCACTAAGGATGTCTGACTGATGGCTGAGGCCCCCTCCCTGCATCAGTCAGACACCCCCTGAGGGCTCCCGGACTGGGAGAGGGCACAGGCCGGGCTAAGGGACACACACACACTCACACACACCCCACCAGTGCACCAATTTCATGCACCAGGCCTCTGCTTATAAATATGTACTGAGTATTGAGTATGACTCTTTTACTAATATTTTGTAGATATACAACTTATGTGTGTATAACCTTTTAAACTATACATACAGGTGAAATAAATTAGTCAAAGACAGACAAAAAATAAACTATACATACCAAAGAGTGTATGAAAGTATTTTTAGGAAGCACAACCCTAAGTATTATACTCATGAACCCACTATCCAACCTAAAAACTGGATTGTGACCAATTTTTGTACCAGCCTAGGGATTCTTTTCCCATCCCACTTCCCTGCCTATACTCCACAGGGAGCCACTATCCTGCATTTTGTGTTTTATCTTTTCTTATCTTTAAAAAAATAAGGTCATCATATGTCTACATCGCTAAGTGATATAGTCTTTTAGTTTTGCTTGGTTTTGAGCTTTATAAAAAGGTTGTCTTGCCCTAGCTGGTTTGGCTCAGGGGATAGAGCGTCAGCCTGCAGACTGAAGAGTCCCAGGTTCTATTCCAGTCAAGGGCACATGCCAGGTTGTGGGATCGATCCCCAGTTGGGGGTGTGCAGGAGGCAGCCAATCAATGATTCTCTCTCATCATTGATTATTCTATCTCTCTCTCCCTCTCCCTTCCTCTCTGAAATCAATAAAAATATATTTTAAAAAACAGTTGTCTTACAGTATATAGTCTTCTGGTACTTTGTTTTTACTTGATATTATATTGAGTGA